TGAGCGGCGGCAGCGGCGGGTCCGGGGAGGGCGGGATCGGCTCCGCCGCCTTGTGCACCCCCCACCCCGCGGGAGCCCCGGACCCGCTGGGAGAGAGCCCAGGGAAAGCTGCCGGGCGCGGCAGGGAGGAGGGTAGGGCGTCTGCCGGGGGCGTGGGGCTCGGCGGAACTTCTGCGCCGGTTGGTTCCTTATTCTCCGGATTCCCGGGCCAGGTACCGTGTCTCGCAGGGGCTGCCCCGAGGGAGCGTCGCGCTCTCCCGCCCGCCGGCGCCGGTCGCTCGGAGGGGGGCTGCGGGGCTGGCGGGAAGGCGTCAGCGAGGCCCTCGGTGTCCCCCGGGAGAGGCGGCATCCTTCCTCCGTTCGTGGCTGGGCTCGGCGTCGGGATCGCCTCGCACCGGGGAGGGGCTGTGAGATACGAAGCGCTGACAGTGTCGTTTCATTGGGTTTTTTTGTTGTGTGATTATATTGATTTTAGCGGTTTGGTGGTAAATAGCAACGGCTCGTTTTAGTGTTAGTGTTTGTATTCTTACCACAAGGTGTAATGGTAAGGCTTATTACAATTTACCCCATAATGATAATCTTGCAAAAGGGAGAGGAACAGCAAAGAGAAGATGCTGAGCACTTTGCCTACTTGTAAGGGCATGAGACTCAGTCTTCCCTCCCAAGTTCTGCTCAAAACTCTCCCTCTTCTCGTGTCGGTGCCCGGTTTCCATGGCCTTGTGATGCCTAAGCTGGGAATGTTGTGCAGGGGAGTGACTCAGAGCTGCTGAGCTTCCATGGATGGTGGTCAGGAGGGATGCAGCACCACGGGACCTTCCTTCCCACCAGACTGCATGGAGCGCTGCTGCAGGAGTGGGCAGCAAATCTGCATTTCTTCCAGCCAGCTTAAGGGGGGGATTCCCCACTGGGTACCCAAGCACTGCATCGGACCCCTGGACAAACGTGGAACTTAGCTTCAAGGAAAGCCTGTGCTTTCTTGAGCAGATTCCCTTGTGATAGTTGCAGGATAGCTGGAAATCAAGACGTCTGCAAGGAGAAGTAAAATTCCCCATGTTTGGTCAAAGAGTATAGTTCAAACCACTAAGCACTTGCCAGCCCTGCCAGCATGCATCTGTGAGAGAGGAAGGGAGCCTGGTTCCAGATGGCTTTTAACGGCATTGTATGAGAGATGAGCTCTGTCAGTAGAGGGTAACCACAGCCCTCACACAGGAGTGTTTCCTGGCACATAAGTGGGCATGGGTTGGGGTGGTGGGGCTAGCGGGGGCAAAGCCAGAGCTGCCAGCATGGGGTCGGGAGCTGCTGCTGCCAGCAAATGTTCCCCTGTCTGCTCAGCTGACCCAGAGCCAGCCTGTGGGCATACACAGGTTTTTGTGGTGTTTGTAGGGCTCCTACTGACCCGGAGCACTGATCAGTAACATGCATGAAGTGGGCTGCTTCGGGGGGGTCCCGATAGGTGGTGGAGTTCCCCGTTTTGCATTACTGTTTTCTCTGGTCACTGGTAATAACACTTCTACTCTCAAATACCAAGTGGCAAATTTTGTGGGGTGCCTCCCTGTTTAGTGAAGCCACTTGTCCAGAGCTTTGTGGAGAGCTGTGGGAGGTCACCGAGCTCATGAGGCATTGGGAGGCTTTTCAGCAGCTGCATGCACCAGTGGGAGGTGGGGTTGATCTCCTGCCATCAAGGGAGCATCATGCCACTGTCACCCACCCTTTGTCGGGGCAGGACATGGGGAATAACGCTGGGCATGGGGTGGCATGAGCCAGAGCAGAGGGGTGTGGTGTTGCCCACCCTCAGTAGCAGCAGCCTCATGCCAGGGTGGGACTGGATCTCTGGGGTCTGCTATGAGCTCTGCCCACTTTGCTGGCGGTGCATTCCCAGAGCCATGAATGCTTTCTTCTTGATCCCTCTTCTGCTGGGAGGGTTCCACCAGGCGCTGGGCTGCAGGGTGAACTTGGCCTCTGGAGAAAGGTTCACACCTTTCTTAATGAGCCCAGTGTCCCAGGAAGGTGTCGTGGCTGCTGAGGCAAGTGGCGGGGGAAGCCATGGCAGGGCATATGGCAGTGCAGGGGACAGAGGGATGTGCTTGCTCCTGACAGTCTTTGAGCCCAGAACTAAGCAAAAAAGATTTAACCTCCCTGAAAGTGCAGAGACCTCAGAATAGCTTGTTTGGGCATTTCTGGCCCATGACTAGGGATCGCAGCAGAGGGAGGGAGGGAGACCCGGGGGTGGTCGTGGGGGGAACAGACCACAGGGTGAGTGATAAGCCCCGCTTGGTCAGAGCCCATGTGGCTGCCCAGGCCAGCCTGCAGCTGCGTCTGGCTCCCACCTGGCCCCTGTCCTGCAGGGCTGCATGTAATGGGGACCTGCCTGTCCCTGTGGGAGGGTGTTCCTGCCGGGCTGAGCTCACCTCCCCCTGTGCCCAGCGGCTCCTCAGGCTCCCACTGACGCTGTGTCCTCTCCTCCACAGGTGCTGATGGAGGTCAGCGTTCTGCCAGTGGAGCTGTGGCAGCTCATCTTCTCCTACCTGTGCCTGCCTGACCTGGGCCGTTGCAGCCTGGTCTGCAGGGCCTGGAGTGAGCTCATCCTCAGCCTGGATAGGACGCGATGGCGGCAGCTCTGCCTGGGCTGCCTGCAGCACAGACACCCCAACTGGCCCAACCAGCCTGGTGTGGAGCCGCTATCCTGGCGAGAGGCCTTCAAACAGCACTACCTGGCCTCCAAAACCTGGACCAAAACCACACCAGACTTGGACTCCTCCAACTGCCTCTCCCTCTTCCGCCGGCGGAAGGGCCGGCGCCGGCTCTCTGTGGGCGCAGGGGGCGAGTTTGGCAGTCTCCGGGCCGCCCTGGCCGCCGCCAGCCCCTATGACCGGCTGGTGCTGCTGCCTGGCGTGCACGAGGAGCAGAGCGAGGTGCTGCTGAAGGTGCCGGTGGAGGTGGTGGGTGAGGGTGCTCTGGGGGATGTGGCGCTCCTGGCCAGCATTGACCAGCACTGCCCCACTGCCCGCCTCTGCAACGTGGTCCTCATGCCAGCCCGCTTCTCCCCCCTGCTCTACAAGGTGAGGCCCAGGGCGGCGGGGATGGCCTTCTCTGTAGATAAGTAGAGACTTGCCCTGCCCGTGCAGGAGATGTTTGGCTGTGACAATCGTCCTGGTTGCCAGCACCCATAAATTGCCATGTGCATTGACTAGCACAACGGGGAAGGCCGTGGTAGAGTTCTGCAAGAACCAGCAGGTCAGGTGGGAAACCACAGCCAGGAAGCAAGGTGACTCCTTGTCTCCTGCTGCAGTGACACAACATAATGCCTGTGCAGCAGTATGGCACAAATTTTTACCTTTTCTGCTTTACACTTGATGGACGGTGGATACAGGGTCCTTCCACTAGGTATAGTAATGGCTCAGGGAGAGTTGTAGCTCTCCAGGCCAACAAGGTGGTGTTTGATGCCATCTTACCTGCTGCTTCACCCAGTAAGCCCCTGAGTCCGTTAGTGGTGCCAGCTGGCAGATACACGTCTCTGAAGGCTGCAAACTATTCTGTGCAGGGAGCGCTGCTTAGGTTTGGTGATGTTGGCACATCTAGACCCCATCTGCTCCTGTGCCTGAGAGGCTCCTCTGCTGGGCCTTGCTGAGACTGCAAAGCTGTGTCGTGGCAGGGAAGTTGTCATGGTGGGCAGTGATGAGTGCCATTCCTCAGGGTTCGGTACTGGGACCAGTGCAGTTTAATATCTTTGTAGGTGACATGGATGTTGGGATTGAGAGCACCCTCAGCAGGTTTGCTGACAACACCAGGGTGTGTGGTGTGGTTGACATGCTGGAAGGAAGGGATGGCATGCAGAGGGACCTGGACAGGCTGATGAGGTGGGACCATGTGAACCTCATGAAGTTCAGCCAGGCTGAGTGCAGGGTCCTGCAGATAGGTTGGGACAATCCCCAGCACAAATACAGACTGGGCATAGAATGGCTGGAGAGCAGCCCTGAAGAGGACTTGGGGGTGTTGGTTGATGAGAAGCTCAACACACCCCAGCAACATGCGCTGGCAGCCCAGAAAGCCCCCTGCATCCTGGGTTGAATCCCCAGCAGCATGGCCAGCAGGGCCGGGGGGGGATTCTGCCCTTCTGCTCCGCTCTGCAGGGAATGCCGCAGTGCTGCCTCCAGCTCTAGGGCCACCAACATCAGAAGGACATGGACCTGTTGGAGCAGAGCCAGAGGAGGTCACGGAGATGCTGGCAGGGCTGGAGCCCCTCTGCTGTGAGGACAGGCTGAGAGAGTTGGGGGGGGTTCAAACTGGAGAAGAGAAGGCTCTGGGGAGACACTTGGGGCCCCTTCCAGTCCCTCAAGCGGCTCCAGGAAAGCTGGAGAGGGACTCTTGATTATGGAGGGGAGCCATAGGACAAGGGGGAAGGGTTTGACACTGAAAGGGGAGA